TGTGTGTCCCCTTTGGCCAGGGATCCTCTATTTCTTCCAGCCAGTCTGCACTCAGCCCCCAGCCCACATGCACACAAGCTGTGTGTGGAGCGCCCAAAAGGCAGGTTAATTAATTTACTTATGCCTGAGTGAGATGGTAGCTGCAAAGTGGGAGGTGAGTTATCACCAGCGGCTCTGCTGGCCACCGTCTCAGATCTCTTCACAAAGTTTTCCTCACCAATCTTTCCTCAGGCACCAGCACATTCTGCTGCCGCCTCTACCCAGACATCAAGGAAGGGAGCTGCCACTGCACATTTTTGTGTTGGCCCTTTAAATGTCTCTTTGCATCTCCAGCCACCTGTCTCTGGAAGAGAGCACCCCTAAGCTTTTTGGGGTTGCGCTTTGTGTGTTTTCCTGGTTTCAGCTGCTGTAGTCTAGGGGTCCCTGTTTATGTTCTTCTCAGGGGGATCCAACTGGCTGTTTCAATGTCCCTCTGGTGCTGGTGCCCGTGGGCTCCCAGCCCACCCTCTCAAGCCTCCACTGCAATTCTCACCTGTTCGAATGTGTGAAAGTTGATTCCACTGTCTGTCCACAGCTCCAAGGCTCTTCTCCCTCTATCATTCTGTTGTTTTCCAGGTGATTACTCCACTATTTAGTCGCAATTCCAGTTTTGTCTTGGGAGGAGGTCAGCGTGACTCCCATTCACTCCTCCGCTATCTTTTTTTCTCCTAATGGGTCTCTTTTTAGATTATTTCTTTATTTAAAGCATTATTATGAACTATGGAAAAGAAACCACTAAATTTTTTTATAGGCTTGTTATGAAACAGTGGGACTAGAATGGTGCCAAGGAATTCATATGGGTTATAGACATATTGCTAAACCAATCCAGAACATATTTGTTTATTTTTAGACGATTAAAGAAAAATAGTTGGGAGCCATCCTCAGTGGCCTATGATAGTCTTTAATAACACTCATTTCCTTTTGTTTAACTAAAATATAAAGATACAGAGAGCTGAAGCTCTCTAACATGCCAATGCTACTTTCTTACTATAAACTTGGCTTATCTCATATGACCAAAAATAAAGAATGATGTGGGAGTCATAAACTGTCCTCATCTCGCACTAGTCTTTTGTTATTACAAATGTTCGTAGATCAAGGATGTGATTTCTCAAAAGGACTTAAGTATTTTGGGCACAATTCCAGGAACATTGTGTTCTACTAGACATCAACAGTTTCTGCTGTATCAAAGACATTCTCCTCTAAAGAGTAAAAGCCAATTTGGAAGGGTAGGAGGGTTTCAGAGTATAGGCACAAAATAAACTTGCCCTTTGTTCAAGACTTTTATTTTTTACTTTTTTAATATTTTTAAATCATTTTTATTATTATTCTGTTATAGTTGTCCCAATTATTTCCCCTTGCCCTCCTCTGCCCATCTCACCACCAATTACCATACTGCTGTGCATGTTCGTGGGTCATTCATACATATTCTTTGACTAGTCCCTTCCCCTTCTTTCCGTCATTATCTCCCTCCCCCATCCCCTCTGGTCACTGTCAGTCTGCTCCATGTTTCCATGCCTGTGGTTCTGTTTTGTTCTTTATTTTGTTGATTCGATTACACTTATAGGTGAGATCATATGGTATTTGTCTTTCACAGACTGGCTTATTTCACTTAGCATAATAGTCTCAGTTCTATCCATGCTGTTGTAAAGGGTAATAGCACTTTCTTTCCTTCTGCTGTGTAGTATTCCATTGTGTAAAGGTACCACAGTTTTTTCATCCACTCATTTACTGATGGGCACTTAGGCTGTTTCCAGCACTTGGCTATTGTAAATAGCGCTGCTATGAAACATGGGGGTGCATAAGTTCTTTTGAATTGGTGATTCAGTATTCAATCTGGTACTGGCATAAGAATAGACATATAGCTCAGTGGAACAGAATAGAGAGCCCAGAAATAAACCCAAGTCTCTACAGTCGATTAATACTTGACAAAGGGGACAGGAGCATAAAATGGAGTAAAAATAGCCTGTTCAACAAATGGTGTTGGGCGAACTGGACTGGTACATGCAAAAGAAATTAAACTAGACCACCAACTTATACCATATACCAGAATAAAGTCAAAATTGATAAAAGACTTAACTGTAAGTTGTGACATCATAAAAGTCCTAAAGGAAAACATAGGCAGGAAAATTTCAGATAGCCCATATAGCAATATTATTGCCAATATACATCCTATGGCAAGGGAAATAAAGGAAAAAATAAACAAATGGGATTACATCAAACTAAAAAGCTTCTGCATGGCTAAAGAAACCATCATCAAAATGAAAACAGAACTGACTGTATGGGAGAACACATTTGCCAATGGCATATTGGACAAGAGTTTGATCTCCAAAATATATGAAGAACTCATACTACTTAACACCAGGAAGACAAGTAATCCAATTAAAAAGTGGACACAGGACCCATACAGACACTTCTCCAAGGAGGACATACACAGGGCCCATAGGCATATGAAAGGATGCTCAACATCACTAGCCATCAGAGAAATGCAAATTAAAACCACAATGATATAGTACCTCACACTGGTCAGAATGGCCATCATTAATAAATCAACAAACAGCAAGTGCTGGTGAGGATGTGGAGAAAAGGGAACCCCAGGACACTGTTGGTGGGAATGCAGACTGGTACAGCCACTGAGGAAAACATTATGAAATTTCCTTAAAAAACTAAAAATGGAAATGCCTTTTGACCTAGCGATTCCACTGCTGGGAAGCTTTTTTATTTTTAAAGAGCAGTAGCCATGTGAAAGTATTCCTGGAGTTTCTACCTCACTGTCTTAGGTTGTAAAGGCATTTCTGTGCCTAAGTGGTTTAGGATTGAGAAACTGCTGACACCTTTTTGAGAAAACTATGACATTGCATTTAAGAGTCTGAGAAGATCTGGTTAGCAGGCAGTTCTCAGCTAACAGACTTCTCCAGGCCCTCCCACTGCAATACTTTGGGGACTGACACATGCAAAAGTAGTCTCAAGAGTTACCTAGTTTAGAAGCAGGCCATGGAAGAAATGAGCCTTCCAGGAGTTTGTGAGAAAGGAAGAGGTGACATGTAGGTGACTGTTTCCACATAGTATATGCATTTCTTTAGCAGATTTAGGTTTTCTGTGGAATAAGAGCCGAGAAGCTAGGAAATGCTAAGAGTAAATAATAATATTCCTTCATCAACTTGGTGCTTTTCTCAACAGGATAAAGATTAATGCCATCGTGGGTCTTTATAATCTTAGAATATTCCATGGCTCCCATTCCTAAAATGATTGCCAGGCTAGACTCTTCTGTCTCGCTGAACTCTTCAGTCCTCCTGACACCTCTGTTTAACAAGGCTTAGATCATGGGGTCCTTAGGACCTCGCATGAAATCTTACTGTGGTTGTCCTTGTCCTGAGAATAACTTAATTAGGAATGTAGGACACATTTTTTAAATTATATTTATAATACTTTTCTTAATGTTCTCAGATGACTGGGCATATTTAATTTTTAAAAGTAACTTTTTCAAAGCAAAGATTAGTTTTTTTATGAGACTGTTAACTTGAATATAAACTCATAGAGAAAAATGTAGATTTTCCCCCAATTTTAATTAAGAGAAGAATTATAACAAGAACCAGCTGTTGTGAAGGCTGCCTATGAGCTATTACTTAACCTCATTCTTTCCTTTTTCCATAGCTATTTTTTGTGTTCTTGGTAAAATGTCTCTGCCCATTTCTCTCAGAACATGTTTTGGCATTTTCCAAAGTTGACCCTGTTTGCCCAGCGGCCATCTTATACCTCAGAACTTATTAGTCTCCATTTTTACTCTTTAGAATTATAAAAAATATGAGTGGAAGGTTTATAAGTTTCACATTTCAAAGTTCTCTCTATTTTAAAAGTTGGGAAGTTTAAGATGTCTTTAGAAAAAGCCTATTTCAACATTTCACCAACCCTATGGGAGGCCAGAAAACTTATGTTTATGAGCAAATACTTTGAGAACAAGAAATTTCTATTTTTCTATTTTCTAGCTAATATCCCCAGGCTTTAATTTCCTCATTTATAAAATGGGAATATTAATAGGGCTTGCCTCTCAAAGTTGGGATAAACATTACATGAGATAATGCATATAAATAGCTTAGAGCAGTGCCAGGCATGGAGAAAGATCTTTTAAAAAGATGATTTTATTTATGTGTTTTTAGAGAGAGGGGAAGGGAGGAAGAAAGAGAGGGAGAAAATCATCAATGTGTGGTTGCCTCTCGCGTGCCCACACATTGTACCTGGCCCACAACCCAGTCATGTGCCCTGACAGGAAATCGAACCAGTGATCCTTTGCTTCGCAGTTTGGTGCTCAGTCTGCTGAGCCACACCAGCCAGGGCATGGAGAAAGATCTTAATAAATGTTAGTGCTGATAGTGGTAGTAAGGATAAAGGATTTTGGAGTCACAAAAAGCATTACAGGAATACAACACAGTATTTTCATATAAGAAATTGGATCATGTAATCTGCTCAGGTTACTTGAATTTGTTACTGTGGAAGAGAAAATTTCTTCTTTGTCACTTACTGGCTGTGTATATTTTTACTCAATTGGAGTGTGTGTGCACATGCTTACAAGTGTGCACATATGAATGCAAATGCTGTAATATCTTGTGTCCCTGCCTTGATAATCAAGAGTTTTGCTTTAGCCCTTTAAAAAAAAATCAACACAGTTAATATTGTGCAGTGCACACAGTAGGCTTTCTTCAAATATCTAATATTTTTATTTGATAAAAAAATCAAAATCTCATGCAAAATTGTATTCATAGGTGTTGTGACCTAATTAAGATTCACCAGATGTTTTGTGTTTAAAGAAAAAGGAATTGAATTAGTAAATAAGGCCTTAAAAACTACTTAGACCTGTTGCTTTTGACACAGTAGAGGATTCTATTACTTTGAAAATGGCTCTTACATTGGTTGGTTTTGAGTTTTTAAAATACTATCTTCATTTATCCTTTGTTTTTATGTTACAGGGGAAAACTTACCCATTTCGGGGTGCCTTCCCTCCAGTCTGGAATCCCATTGCATATCTGGATTACAACAACCTGTGGCGGACAATGGATAACATGGGAAAAGAGGTAAAGTGTGGGTGTTCAGTTTGCACATGACCTGTTTCTAAAGTAACAATAGCCACTGTTTCATGTCCTTTTACAGTCCAGGGAACATGGCTCTGGATAATGATGCATATCCTTTCCAGTGCACCCAACAACTCTGAAAAGTTCACAGTATTTCCAATTTACAAATAAGGAAAATGAGTGCCAAGGGTTTGTGTAATTCCCACAAGACCACATAGCAAGGGAACCAAGGTTCAACCCACATCCGTCTAATATTAATGCCTGTGTACTTTCCACTCTCTGCCACTGACAATCTATGTGATGTATGTATGCCAGGTATCCTACTTACGTGATGCCCCTTTAGTAGTAAAGGAAAGAAAGATTAGTTGCCTCAAGGATTTTTTACTTAGTCTCAGTCTCTGTAACATCACTCTGAAACTTAAATTGGGGACTTAAAATGGGTGTTAGCTTTCAATACTAATAATTATCATTCTCAAAATTTATTAATTTATGTATCTATTACATAGTTATACATGCATTTATATATTGCCATTATTATTATTAGTTATTATAGTAACAGCATTAATACATGGAATCCAAAGAGCTATCTACATTGAATTATATGCCAATCACAGATTCCAACATGGATATAAAAACCAGTTTTCAGAGGTTCTTCTTAGGGCTTCTTGGCAAGGCAGTGGGCAGTAACCATCACACCTAGATATGAGCCCTTCTTTCTCTGCAGATTCCAGCTGATGCACCATGGAATGCTCCACGTGCAGAAGAGTGGGACAGGATTACGATGAAAGACCTCATTGATAAGATCTGCTGGACACAGTAATCTTGACATTTAAAAGTTACTTTTTATCTTCAATTCTGATTTTTCTATCCTATCTTGAACTGCAGCATTTTTCTTTATAAGTTATAGGAAAAGAGTTAAGAGGAAACCTAATGATCTTTCAGTCAGTAGCAATGTTAAAAACATTTAGATTTCAGAGCATGTTTGAACATAAAAGTAACCTAAAGCTTAAGAGGAAAAGTAGGTGAATGAAGTAGAACTTTTTTTTTTTAATGAAAGGGTTGTGTGATTTGCAATAAAACAAGTGATTATGTTTTCAGATTATATAGTGGTCAGCTATAGAAACAATTTGGAAAGAATTTAAAGTAATTCCATATAGATATAAAAATATGAAATGGAAGGACACTAGTATATTTTAGCAAAAATACAAATTGCATAATGTTTTCAGTGAGAACGTGTGTTATTAGCTATATGTTAATAAATAATCAACTAATCTGTATAAATAAAGATTAAAATCTTTATAATCTGTAATAAATGGTTACAAATTATTCAGTCACCATTTGAGGCTTCTATGTGAAAGTACTGTAGCAAGCACTGAGGAATGGTGGTGAATTTGTTAAACAAGGCCCCTGCTCCCATGGAGTTTACATTCTTCTAGCAGGAGACTGGCATTATAGACAAAATTACATAATGCTAGGAGAGGGACTGTAACAGTGAACCTGAAATGTCAGAGAATAAAGGAGATATTCTTTAGTGAATAAATCTTTGAACACAAACAAGAAAGTTGACGCGTCAACTAAAAATAAGCCACAGAGGATGGGAGGAAACAGGGAAGGGTAGAAGGTGCTGGAGCATGGTATCTTTCAGGAAAGTTCTATAGTGGATAAAAATGTATAGTGTAAGAAGACAGTATATTTCCAGAATGAGTGACAGTGGATTGGGAAAACAAGAAATGTGGATGGTGTGTACAGATGGTATATTTTTAAAATGAGCCAAGAAATGAGTGGATGGAGGGAAGACATGAAAGATGGGTGGTATGTTTGGATAGTATCTTCCAAAAATAAGCAAGTTGCTGGCAGGAGATAGGAAGAATGGCTAGTGTGAGGGATGGTATTCTCCAGGAATGAACCCCAGTGCATAGAGAGGAGTCATTAAAGATGGGTGGTGCAGTGGGATGCTATATTTCAGGAGAAAGACAAGAAGGGTGGATAGTGTAGGGGATTAGTATCCTCCAAAATTGATCCACAGTGAGTTAGTAGAGACAGAAATGATGAATGATGTGAGGGAATGGTATCTTCCAAGAATGAGCCATAGGGGATGGGGGAAGACAGGAAGAGATGATGGTGTAAACGGATGAGCCACAATAGATGAGGGTAGATAGCTAAGGATGGATGTTGAAGGAGAGTGGTCACTTCCAAGAATGAACCACAGTACATGAGGAGAGACAGTAAGGATGGATGGATTGGTTGAATGATATCTTCCAGGAATGAGCCTCAGTTGATGAGGGTAGACAAGAAAGATGGATGGTATGTGCAGATGCTATCTTCCAAGAATGAGCTGATGAATGGGGTGAGGGATACAGGAAGGCTGGGTGGAGTAGGGACTGGGTATCTTCCAGGAATAAGCCACAGTGGATGGGGGTGGGAGAGACTGGAAGAGTGGATGGTGTGGGTGGTGGTATTGGTATCCTCCAGGAATAAGCCACAGAGTATGGGGAGAGAGGAAGGTTAGATGGTATAGGAGATGGTATCTTCCAGGAATGAGCTGCAGTGGATGGGGAGATACAAAAAGATAAGTTATGTGAGGGAGTGGTATAATCTGGGAATGCTTAGTGACAGTAGGGGGAGGTACAGGAAGGATATATGATGTAGTGGGATGGTGTCTTCCAGGAATAAGTCACAGTGGATGGGGGTGGCAGGAGAAGTGGATGGTTTAGGGGAGTAGGTATCTTCCAGGAATGGGCCACAGTTGTTAGAGGAGACATAGGAGATGAAATATGTGTTTAGATAGTATTAGTAGCAATTACCACAGGGGGCGTAGTAAGAGAGGAACAATAGATGGTGTGGGAGAATGGTATCTTTCAGTCATGAGCCAGTTGATATGGAGGCAAGAAGAATGAATGGTGTGATGGGATGGTGTCCTCCAAGAATGAACCACATTGAATGGGGAGTAGACAAGCTGTGTAGATTGTATCTTCCAGGAATGAGCCATAGTGCATGAGGAAGACAGGAAGGATGGATGATGTGGAAAGGTAGTATCTTCCAAGAATGAGTCACAATAGATTGGGGGGAGACATAAAAGTTGGATGATATTTGTAGATGGTATCTCCCAGGAATGTACAGCAGTAGTTATGGTATGGTGGGGGAAACCTTGATGGTGTGAGGGGGTGGTATTTTCCAAGAATGATGTACTGTGGATTCATCCTGCAGACCTGAAGGATGAATAGTCTAATGGGTGGTATATTCCAGCAATAAGCCACAGTGAACAGTGGGCATTACGAAGGGTGGATGGTTTGGAGAAGTTATTTTCAAGGTAGAGAGAACAGCAAATAGCTTTTATAAAGGCCCTGAGGTTCGAAGTTTGGCATGTTTTAGCAAAGTATGGACAGTATTCCTGGACCATAAAGAGGCCATGAGAAAGTGATGTTAATGACAGATTGGAGAACTGGTTGAGATGCTGATGGTGCAAGAGTAATTGCCATATTTGAGACTTTTGCCTTTTTCCGTGAAAACCTTTGAAAGGTTTTAGGTGGAGTAGAGTTTGTTTTGTTTTGTTTTGTTTTGAGCTGTTAAAAGACTTCATTGGCTATAACTTGGAGAAGCATCAAGAGGGAGTATAAGATGACCAGGTAGAGATAACCATGAGCAGCCACAATTGTAACCCAGGTGACAGTCAGTGGTACCCTGGACCAGGACCTGGACCTGGACCAGTGGAGGTGGAGAGTAGAGGAGGGTTATTCAAATAAGTGAGAACAGATATCCTTAATTATCCCTGAAAAGCATATCGATCCTTTAGACTACACTGGGATTAGCATATTTGAAGCTAACCCATAATTTCTGAAAAGCAAGGTAAAAGTTCATTTTTCCTAAGAGTTAAAATATGCATTCCTTCAGAAATTGAGTTCATGATGTTTTTTTCAAAAGCCATGGAAATATTTTCTAACCATACTAAATTGTGTTTTAAAAACATGCCCAGTGAAGCATATATGTATTTACTTCTGACATGCACTCTTATTCTGTGACCAGGACTGCTAAGCAGTTTGCGTCTCTCTTTGTGAACATCAATGTGACCTCTGAGCCTCATGAGGTTTCTGCCTTGTGGTTCTTGTGGTATGTGAAGCAGTGTGGTGGCACCACTCGGATATTCTCCGTTACCAATGGGGGCCAGGTATGGAGGGTCCATTTACCAGTATAACTTTATTTGAGATTTTTACCCCTACCCCCAGATCAGTGTCTGAATAATTGAAGCATTTTGAAACATGAATAATTAGCAGCTTGAGATGATCTCAAAAAACTTTTCTGAAAACAAAATTTCTCATTTCCATTTCTCATTCCTGCAAATAAGATCACAGCTAAAGAATGTTATATTTTGAATTATGTAGGTTTTGGGAATGCTGCTCTTTCCTTTTGAAGATAGGTAAAATTAGGCTATTTATGTAAGGGGAAGCTAAATTACTGAAATAACTAATTTCCAAAAATTTCTAGTATAGTTGCCCTTCTGTCAGAAGTTTCAGTTATCTTTGGTCAATTACAATCTGAAAATATTACATGGAAAATTCCAGAAATAACCAATTCATAAGTTTAAATTGTGCAGTGTTCTGAGAAATAAAATGAAATCTCATGCCCTCCCACTCTGTCCTCCCTGAGACACGAATTATCTCTTTGTCTAGTGTCTCCACACTATAGGTGCTCCCTGCCTGTTGATCACTTAGTAATCATCTCAACTGTTACAGTATCACAATGCTTATGTTCAAGTAACCTTTATTTTACTTAATAATGACTCCAAATTGCAAGAGTAGTGATTTGGCATTTTTGATATGCCAAAGAGAAGCTGTAAAGTATATGTATGTATAGGGAAAATATAGTATATATAAGGTTTGTTTCTCTCCGTGGTTTCAGGCATCCATTGTGGGTCTTGGAAGATATTGCACACAGATAAGGAGGGGATTACTATACTTGTAAAATTATTATATTTAAAGTCATCTCTGCTCCATACATAAAGCTTTTTTGTCCCATTCTGTGTCTCAGTTATTCTTTTATGTTAACTATTATAGAATAGAAGTCACTATTCTTTCTTCTAATTTTCATAGTGATTTATGGCCACCATTTCATTAGTAAATTCTGTATTTTGGATTCTAAATTTTTGCTCCCAACTAGAATTTGGCTCCATACTACTTCTGTTTTGGACTCATTTAGCATATTCTGTGAACACACAGCAAACCAGTGATGAGGCCAGAATCCTAATTCCCCATTTTTTTTAGCCTCTAAGATCATTTCAAGGCTCTCCCTTATCCAAAGCAAATGGGTCTCTCTTTTCTAGGAATACAATGCCTTGATGAAATGAGGTTTAATTAGTAGTTTAAATCTAACTTTGCTCTGTTCCATAGTGCAAGGGGTGGAGCCCTTCTCCACTAAGTGAATTATTTTTCTCTTTAGGAGATATCCAGAAGTCCTCAAGTTGCTCTTGTGGCCCCAAGAGTTATTGTCCACTTGATCCTTACCTTTAGCAAATACGGGACAGTTGCATTTTTTCTTTCGTTACTTATAGGCAGAAATAACACATTACTCCTTTAAACCTGTATTTTACTTTCCAGGGTATCTTGACTCATTCAGAGGAGCCAGGATGCTTCTAGCCATACTCTACATGAACTTTTGGAAAGCACAGTTCACATTATGACTCTCAAACAATTATAACAATGTTTTTATAAAGAACTTAGATTTATTATTTAATAATTTAATTTGACCAATACTAGACATGGAGGGATAGGCAGTGAACGAGATGAAATAGTCCATGGTCTTTCCATTTGCACTCTACTAAAACTGAAAATAAGTCTTGGAAAACAGAGGTCAAATTATAAATTAAATGGTCCTAGTTTCTTGAGGAAAGATAGATCATCATTTTAGGTCTGAACTACTATGAGCATATTTTTATAAAGAACTTTGGTGGTGTCATTAGAACAATAGCCAGTTATGAAAAGCATAAAATCACTGTGTGGCTGCTCATGCAAGGTTTTCTATTAGAGCATGATTGAGGTACCCAACTGTTAAATGTTGAGCTGTTCCTCAGTCTACCTACATGTATTTCTAACCATTACAAAGAATATTCTACAACAGGCTAAGTATATTCCCCTGGTTCTTACAAAATGCATTATATTAAGGATTTAACTTCTTAGATTTAGCTGGAACCATTTCCATGTTGAGTAGAGCAGATAACAGTGGGGAAAAGCACTCATGGACTTATAGGGCTGATCAAAGGAACTACTTAACAATGTCTGGAGGAACACACAGGTGCTTAGGTTTTCCCCTTCTTCCCCCACATTGAAACTTCGAGACATTTTTGCAAAAAGTTACTCAATATCTGAGATTTAGATTCTTAGAATATCGTTGGGTGATGACCAGGTGCTTTATAAAAGCACTCTGAACCTGTTCTCTTAGACAACACTTTAATCTGTTTAGACAACCCTTGGCTAGGGCTTTAAGAAACCAAGGGGAGTTATAAACTCCATCCCCATTTCAATAAAACTAAAAAGAAAATTAATTTTTTTAAAAAAAGAAGTCATATCCCATGGGAGAAGCACAACACCTGCCCTTTCCCAGGATTCCCTCCATGCATTCCCTCTGGGCATTTGAAGCCCAGAGACTTGCTGCTGTTTGCATTCAGTGAAGGGACCAGTACAGGTGAACATGTCTTTTGATTCTGTGACTTTATAAACTAGTAACTGCTTTTTATTGCCAGGAACTGCAGAACATGGTAATCAAGGTCTTTTGGTAGACTTTGCCTCTGACTTAATGAGTTCTTCCAATGGTTAAATGTACAGAGGGTGGAGGTATGGCCTCTGACTTTCTGGAGGTTTTCTAATCAGTGGCAAATATGATAGTCCTTGGGCTTTTATGTTTCTTGCCTGCCTTCTCCTGTAGGAACGGAAGTTTGTAGGTGGATCTGGTCAAGTGAGTGAAAAGATAATGAGCCTTCTTGGCGACAGAGTGAAGCTGACACGTCCTGTTACCTGTGTTGACCAGTCAGGTGACAACATCATTGTACAGACGTTGAATCATGAAGTTTATGAGGTAATTCAGTTTAGTCAAAAGGATCGTATATTAAATAGTGCTTGTGTATTCTGTAGCCTCTAACCAAATATAATCCAAGCAGTGGCATAATACTGGCATGCTTCCAACTCAGTCTTCCAAATGACCAGATTTTGCTGACCTACCTTGTTGTTTTCTGCCTTGCACTGGCCTCATTTTGTATGCTCTTACTGTTCAGTGTTATTCAAAATGACAAATATCATGTTTCATACCCTCTGCAAACATTCTGGCTCACATTTGAGGTGGTATTTTGTGTTTGTGTCTTTTAGTGCAAATATGTAATTACTGCCATCCCTCCGACTCTGACAGCCAAGATTCACTTTACTCCAGAGTTGCCACCTGAGAGAAACCAGTTAGTCCAACGTCTTCCAATGGGAGCTATCATTAAGTGTATGATGTATTACAAGGAAGCTTTTTGGAAGAAGAAGGGTAGGCTGCATTTATTCATGTTTAAATTGTATTAAGAGAAGGAACTGTACTTTTTTAGGCACATTATACTAGATATTGAACAGAAAAAAAGGTAGCGCTTTCAAATTGGTAGAGAAAAGTACAGAAATATCAGTCTGTTCATTTCCTCATAGTCCATCCTAACACAAAATGACCCTAAAAACACTTGCTGGCTGTTAAGGGGAGGGAAGAAATCCCACTAGTTGCAGGGCCACCATTACTCTGCCTCCTTGCATATGTCCTCCCACTTACTCTTCATGAGCAGAGTAAGACAAAAGGGCACCATGGAAAGAGCACTGCTTTGAAGTCACTTTTTCCTGGGTTTCACTTGCTTACTAGCTATGTGGTCTGTGGTGTGACACTTAACCTCTCTCGGTATCAGTCTCCTTGTGTAAAATGGTAACAACAAAACCTACTGTCAGGTTATTGTGAAGATTAAATGAGGCAGGGTCTGGGCAGATAGGGTAGCTATTGTTGATAAGCCTTCTGCTCATACTCAAAGGATTGCTTCCTGCCACTTCTTCCATGAGTTCATAATAGTGATTCTCCCTAACACAGCCCACAGCCCTCTCTTACGCTGTGTATTCCAGGGCTCCAAGATCATCTTACAATACCAGTTATGCATTTTTCATATATGACCTTTATGTAAAGGTAATCAAGATGGGTCATTTTCCATGTGTCTGGGTGAATAGACATCTTATGTAGTCAAGTGTATATTTGATAGGAAATGGCTTGTAGGAAGTTCAGGCAAAGAGCAATAGTTTAAACTTTTCTTTTCTCTATGCAAAATAGTTTTATAAATATAAATATAAATTTTATATATATATATATAAATATATATTTCCCCTAAATATATATATATATATTTCCCCTAAATTTCTGATGAGGTCAATCTCAATATTCTATTGATTTTCTTCTGGTTAAGATTACTGTGGTTGTATGATCATCCAAGATGAGGAGGCTCCAATTTCGATAACCCTGGATGACAGCAAGCCAGATGGATCACTGCCTGCTATCATGGGGTAAGTTAGAACTGGGTATTCTGCATTTTTCAAATGGTGTTGGTGTATTTGTGTGGACTCTGTCAGAGCATACTGTTTCAAAATCAAGTGCAGTCAATAATAATTAACCCTACAGAACTATATTATGTTTCCATGTATTAAAATATTAATATTTTATACATAGCACAAGAACACTGGGAAGCTTTACTAAAATTGACACTATTTGAACTTATTCCCATATATTTCCTCCCTCCATAAAACTTATACATTAAACACAGCAAAAGAAGCAGCATTAACTAGGTGGTATGGTAGACAACCCTGCCTAGAGGCAGAATATCCACAACCATTCTGGAATGAGAACTGTTTTATCGTGTAAAATCTTCCAAAGTTAGGGTTTCTGGGATTTATCCTTTTCTCCATTCCAAACATTGCTATGTAGCAAATATTAATATGTTCATTGTTTCCCTGGGATATAAGATGCATGACTAATTAGGAAGTGCAGTTTGAAGCAGTACCAGGCCTTCAGTAGATGCCACTTGTTCTAGCAGATCATTCTATAGCTGTCCTTCACCAGGGATGGTCCAGGGAGAAGTTCTGTGTCTAGAAGAGGAGAGGTCTTCCCCATTCCTCCCAATCCCACCCACAGCTGCTCTGCCCTTTGAGGACTAGGCATCCAGAGAAGGAAAGGGGACTCCCACAGATTGCTAAGGAGTGCCACAGTATCCCAGTTGCCATGTATTTTAGCGCTCCTCAAAGCTGTACAAACAAAAGAGCTATTTGGTCTACCATATGGCAGCAAAAGAGCACAGCTTATATAGCAGTCAAGTGACTTTTAGGGATCTGTGATTTTCCCCTTCACCCCTGGAAGAGTAGAGCTCATGTGTTTTGCATTATTAAAGGGAAATTACAAAAACAAGAGGAGCAGACCCATGACCCAAGGGACTTGGAAAACAGGCTGTGCTACCAGATTGCTACCAAACCATTTTGTAACCACTTCTCTGTCTGTAAAATGTAAGAAACAGCATTAGCCTCCATGGAAAGGGCAGGAGATCACAACATAATAACCACAATGACAACATATGCTCTTCATCTCTAACTACTCTGTTCAGGAAAGGATACAGAGTGTTTGTGCAGTTTGGCATCACCTTCTACATGCCAAAGGAAATCAGGAGGTTGAGGTAGATATTTTAGGTGACTCGGTCAACATTAGTCCACCTGTGGATGGAAGAACATTGATGTTCTCTTAACCTGGGAGTTAGATATTGTAGCATCTGCCCTTCTGGGCTTTCTAGCTTTATTGATAAAGACATGCATGCAGAAGACTTCCAGATGGTAATGGGATTATTTAGGCAGTTTCTAAAAAAGATTTATCTGGGCAATAGTCTCCACCCTGTTCTTGCCTTGAAACTATATTGCCTCCACCCTGCTCTTTGTTCTGGGCAAGGAAAGCTTTGAAGATAGTATTAATTGCCCAGTACTGTTTGTGATATTTAGTGCCTTTTGGAAATTAGAAAGGAACTTGTACTTTAGAGCTGTGAAATGTTCCCACCCCAGAGCCAGTATGTTTGATTTCCTCAATAAAACACCAAAGAAACTTAAAGGATAGTTTTCCATATAGAAGTAGATCAAAAAGGTTATTTCATTCTTGACTTTAGATTCAACAGAAATAGCTAACACTAATTGCTCTTTAGAAAGGGAACTGTAAAAAGCTCCCAAGATCTAAAAAGGTTTTCAGCTAAATGATTTAATATTTTATCAGATATTGGTGATTTTCATTTAAATAATTGCATAAGTCTAAAACAATAGATTGTTGCATGAATCTAAACTTTTAACTAAAATCATTACTAGCAAGCCATAACATATAGTATTAAATCAAGTAAAATTATGACTATCTCTCATAAAGCACAACAGTTCAAATTTTTAAACAGTGTACAGCTTCCTCTGAAATACTATTCTCTGTGTTAACACAAATACATTTTTGTATCTTTGCTTCCCAAAGTGATCTCAACAGCTTGAAATGAGAACAGCTCTAAAGGAACTTCCAAGTCAAAGTTAGTTTAATTTGGGCTGAGGGAGAAGACAAAATACCTGTTTTTAGTCCTTGCATTTTCAGTCCTGATCTACTTGTCTTTTATGTCTAGAACAAAAGAAATTCAATTTTTAAAATTTTTTAATGGAGAAATAACTTCACTGTCCCTTAGCTCGTTTAGATTTTTGGTTAAAAAAATTATTTTCTAGTAATATTATAAGGACTTCTTTGTCATAATTCAATTCTTTAAAATATGCAAGTTATTAGTAATATAAGTATAATGAATAAAATCTATTTGATTAAAAGGAAGCAGAGTATAACTGAATTTTACTCAGTTACTAAATTTGGGGAATGTACTAGGCAAGTTTCCCAGGAAGCTAACTTGGGGATGGTGATTTGGGTGTAAGAGGTTTATTGGGAAGTGCTCTGGGATCACTGCCTGTGGGGAAGGAATCAGGACCAGACAGAAGGAGAGATTGGTTTCCAGTGTTGATCCAATGAAGGCCTAAACCACCCCACAGTGAGTTCTGGAGCTCTATGATCCTTTAGAGGTATCCTGAACTCCTGAGATAGTCATGCTGGTGAGGAGCAGGGGATTTTGTGCCAGGCAGTTCTCTGCTACAGAGTACAATTGCTGGAGAAGGGTTCAGCTGTGAGCTGAGAGCAATGAATGCTTGGTTCTGAAGAGGAATCTGGGTGTCCCACCATGGCATCCATACAGACATATATTTACATTTGTTTTTCCAGCTTTTATCAAGTATTTGGCATAAGGCAATAGTCATTACCAGGATAATCATTTAATACAACATCAATTGTTCTGACATTTGTTTCCTACTGTATGCCAAAAACTGTGCCAAATTTTGGGGGTAAAATATTGAGTAGGAGGCCACCTGTCATTTAGGAGCCTACACCCTAGCAGGGGTTTTGGATACAGAGGCAGACTGAAGACAGCATGGCATTTGTTCTAGCAGAGGAAAATATTGGGAGGGTGTGGGAGATTTCATTAATGCTGAGCACATGGAAGCAAGAACATTTTTGAAAAGGCAACTCTTAAGATATTACCTAATTGTTTAAATGTAACCTCTCTTTCTAGCTTCATACTTGCTCGAAAAGCTGTCCAACTAGCAAAACTCCATAAAGATGAAAGGTAAGAATTTACTTCTGGAACATATGTAACAAGTTAGCTTATATCGTGCTTGTTGCACTAACAATATAATAGCATTGCAAAAAATAATAATTCATTAATATTCTCAAAATCCTAATGAAACAACCTTTTTGTATTTTGCCACAGCTACCTCGGCACAGCCCTTGTCCATAAGCATAAATTAATTAAGTTTTACATATCTGTTTTTATTTTATAGTGGTTGAGAGGTTAGGGTTTCTTTGTAAGATGGATGAAGAAAAATCATAGGTGTTACCTGTGAAAAAACCTTTAGAGACCCAGTTTCAATAACCTTGCAAGACCATTATCCCTTTACAAAGTTTCTCTGACATGCACTTTTTCTGAAAAACAAATCCATACATATATGTTTCAACTTATATACATAAAAGTATTCCCCTTTTATTAGGAGAATTATCTAGATTATCTAGGACACAGTTCTGATGTTCCCTTCTCCCAAGAGCTTCCTAGTATAAAAGGATTTAAAGACAATGGATTTTTCTTTCTTTCTCCCTTTCTCTCTTTCTGCCATGTTGTATTTTTGCTTTGTTTTGCTTTACCTTGAAATTATTTGTTCAAATAAAATCATACCTGGAAACAGTCATTTTGCTGTTGGAGGGCTACCTCTAGGAATTTCTGGACTTCCCCTGTTTATGGTAGTCTTAAAACCCTTGTTAGCTTTTGAAGAGGACCAATATATACACAATGTACTTCTCCTTGCATTTAATTTAAACATTAAACAGTAAATCCACTAGCAGCCCTTGCTTTAAGAGTTACTTGAATGACCTTGGAAGTCACAAAAAGCTGCAGAAATTACCACATTTTCACATGGATTAGTTTACTTGAATTACCATGAGATTTTCTGTCAGGAAGGGAACTATTTTAGCGTCTAGCTACTCACTCGATAGAGGAAAAATTGTGGGGTCCAGTGGTAGGTAACGATTTGGTCAAGGCTCTGCATCTAGTTTGTGACAAAGTCAGGAATAGCATCTAATGCATACTTTCTTTCATTACACCACACTAAGCTTGACATTTTCTTTTGGATTTCCTGCTTCCCCCTCCTTATTAATAGTAAAATAAATACCAACCCAAGTGTAGACATTTGGTTATGATTCCACATGGTGACTGAATTTCTCAAAAGTTTTTATTAGACAACACCTTTAGAAGTGCTAATATGTCATTGACTGGAACAACAGTTCCCGGAACTCACTGAATCAAAATGTCCCATAGAATGCTTGATGTGGTGCATACACACACATGCACACACACTAGACTATTACACAGCAATAAAAAAAAATGAAACCTTGCCATTTGTGACAGTATGGATGGACTCAGAGGGTATTTCACTAAGTGAAATAAATCAGAGAAAGACAAATGCTGTAAACAAAACTAAAACCAAACAGACTCATAGGAACAGAGACCAAAGGGATGGTTGCCAGAGGGGAGCGGTGTAGGGGGATGGGTAAAAGGGGAAGGGGAATTTACTCAATAATATTGTGATAAGTAACATGATCACAGATGATTACTTGTGGGGTGATTACATTGTAATGTATAAAAATGTCAAATCACTATATTATACATCTGAAACTAGTGTAACCAATATAAGATTGTATACCAACTATACTTAAATTTTAAAAAAGAATGTTTGAAAAATATATATTGTCTGAGGCTGATAAATTATGATTCAGTAGGTGAGGGTGGGGCCTGAGTATTTGTATTTTTTAATGAGCTTTGCAAGTGATTGTGATGAACATCCAGATTTAGAAACCAGTGGGTAAATTTAACTACAAAATGTTGTACACAGTGACCTCTTTTGTCCATCATTAAAATGTTCTATCATTTTTAGAGTCCAACTAATCAGTCAGTGTATTGCTCCAACTGCCTTGCATTACTTTTTTATTTTTTTTATTTTAATGGGAGGAATGAATGGGGAAGATAATTTCCTGATGTAGTTGTATGAACTTATTCTTGACTTATCTAATAATATGAAATACAGTTAATAATGACATATTTCTATTATAACTGATTTATCATTCATGACTTAAAAATCAGCTGCCTCTATGTTGATTAGATTTTAGGTTTCACACTGTTTTAATAAAGATTTTATTACATGTCCCCAAAATAAGTTAAACCTCATTAAACTTTTCAGAACAATTGTCAATACTTTTGTTTTCTAATTGACTCAAAATGTTGGCATTATTCTTTGTAACCTCATGTGAAGTAGCTAAGGATCAGTCATCTATATCTGTATCTATATCATAGAGGACACCATTCTAGGCTGAGGATGGATTTTGATTCAATACATTTTTATTGAGCACTAACTATAGGTAGGATGCTCAGGAGAGTTGAGCTTCAGCCCTGCCATTAATTAGTTGAGTGATGTGTAACAACTCTCATTAGTGCACTGAGCCCCAACCTCCTTCTCTGAAATGAAGGGCTTCCATTTGACAGAGAGAGACAGATAGGAGGATAGTAGTTTTGAGACTACTTCCAGTTCTCCCTTTCCTTTGTAATTATTGATCTACAGTATAAACAGCTCTTTGAAGGGAAACCAAACTTTTCCTGTTTGTACTGGAGCTTAAATAGTGACCTAATGTTACATGACATCACCTCAGGAGTGGCATTTTTCTCCCTCCTAAAACATTTGATGGTAACATTGTTGCAATAAGCAGTGTTTATAATTCCACTTTCTCCTGGTGCTCTCCTAACACTGTATATCCACAAGATGGAAGTTCTGAGTTATATAAATGGTGTGAACATGAACATTTGGGTAAGTTTATAAGGTTACACTTTGTCCAACATTATTCAGAGACAGTAGGAGTATGTTTTAAAAAATATTTTCTAGCCCTGGCTGGTGTGGTTCAGTGGCTAGAGCATCTTCCTGTAACTGAAAGGTTGTGGGTTAGATTCCCTGTCAGGGCACATACCTAGGTTGCATGTTGGATCCCAGATCCCTCATGCTAGGTCCCCAGGCATACGCATCCAGTGTGGGGAAGGCAACCAATCAATGCAAAGCTTCTATGTTTCTCTTCCTTCCTTCCTCTCTCCTTTCTTCTCTCTCTAAAAAGCAATGGGGGAAAAAAAGTCCTCAGATGAGGATAAAAAAATTTAAAAATATTGTCTAATGTAATTGGAAACATGAAAGTGTCACCTTTAAAAATCTGTTCTATTACTGCTAAGTATAACCTTCCCTTCCCCCCTCCCCTGCCCACCCCCATTTTTGGCCATTTGTCTTTTCAGCTTTTTAAAAAAGATTTTATTTCCTTTTAGAAAGAGGGGAAGAGAGGGAGAAAGAGAGGGGGAGAAACACTTACGCAACAGAGAAACATCTATTGGTTGCCTCTTGTACAAGCTCCATCTGGGGGCCAAGCCACAACCCAGGCAAGTGCCCTGCCTGGGAATGGATCCAGTGACCTTTTGCTTTGCAGGACGATGCCCAACCAACTGAGCCACACCAGTCAGGGCTGTCTTTTCAGCTTTTAATGCTTGCCTTATATATTTGAATTAAACCCTTTGCCACATTTTTAGCAACTCTTTTTTCCTGTTGTTTCTTAACCTGTAAGAAATATTTTGGAGCACTTTCAATGTTTAAACTACATAAAGACTAAAGAAGGTAAACCAAAAATATATAACTGCATAGTGGGGACCTCTTCCAACAAATCCCAAAGTAGAACCAGTCATTTCTAAAATGGGTAGTTTTAGTAAATTAAAACTTAAATTTCACTAAGGGTGTGTGTGAGTTCAAAATATATCTTTTCCAAAAAGGACTTAGATAAATTCAGCTACTGACTTTTAAAACATAATATGTGTCATGTTCTGTGTTAGTCACTTACATAAGGATTTATGAATGTAACCAAAGATTGTGTTTGGGGTAACACCACATCATGCTCATTCCCCAGACACCCTTTGGAACCCTGTGTTCATAAACCTTCTCTCAAATTACAGATTACTAGACTGGAATGACCATAGGCATCTCTTGGTCTAGCATAATCTATGTTCTGCCTAAAAGATTAAATGAGCTTTATATGTTCATAATATTTGTAAAACAGATATAGGATGGTTTAAAAAATCATATGTACTACAAACTTATAATAGGGATTATTGTAGAAATGTACATATTCCAGAAAAGTGACTTAGAATCAATCCCTAAAATGATTGAATTTAACTTAAAGTTACTTCCCCCATTTTAATCTTGAATAGAGATGGCATTGGGTAGTGCGAGGCAAACTATAAAAAAAGAAGGAAAATTCTGTTGTATCTTTAAATCAAATAACTATATTGAGGCATAGAGTTACTTGGAGTGCAGATACATGGAAATGTTCATTTTGTGTGGTTACAGAAGGCCATGGATTTTAATTTTTCCTTGATAAATCTGGTTCATTGGCAAGAGCCCTGGAACTCATAGTGTTTATTCTATACTCATCAGTTATTACTTCCTTAACAATTTTGGTTCTTTTTTTATAGAAAGAGAAAAATCTGTGAGTTGTACTCCAAAGTGCTTGGATCTGAAGAAGCTTTACAAGTAAGAACACTCAGCTTTAATACCTAGCAGGTTGTTCTCTACTAGCTCTAAAGGGTAAAGCAAAGCACATTCTGGTTCCCTGACAGGCTTATGAAGAGAGTATAAAGGGATATGCTTACTGGAGGATTAACTTCAGCTATCACAGAAGGCCATTAAAAGCTGCTGTTAGGTGCAAGAAATTTTTGATGCAGTGATTCCTTGGGCTATTTAAGTGTTCACTGAATAACTGGCAGCCAGGTGTAGTCAGAGCCTGGAGCTTCAGGTATTATCTCCTGGGTGGATAAGATCAGTTCCCAGAACCAAGAGCCTGCCCTCCTGTCAAGGTCAACTGACTTCTGTGAAATAAAATCCCATCATTTTTTGGTGAAGGCACTGCAGTACATACTTGACAATATAACTGAATCTAGACTCTACCCAGGTCAAAGTCATATCAATTTATTTTTCCATTTGTAGACTCAGTTAACAGCTCATTTCAGAATTTCATTGCTTTAAATCTACCACTGAAAACAATTATGAAAATGAAATTCTTTCTGAAGATCCTAACAGATAGCTTAAGGCTCTTTTAGAGGATTATCTCTGAACTGTTCAAATAACAAATTGGCAGAATGTGTTAGGGAAATCAGAGAAGGTTCTCTCATGTCCCTTGACAAACATCTTAATCTTTAATTCTTCCCTTTTTATCAGAATTCCTATCATTCAGTTTTCTAGCTTAAAGAACTAGTTCTGGAAAAAAACTCAGAAATGGACTCTGTATTTATTTTCTACTTCCTCCCTTTCACCCCCTTTTTCAGCAGTAATGCCTTGGTAGATGAGGAGGTAAAGTCTGTTATTTAGAGAATCCAGAGATTTCAGTAGACCTTTCCAGAACCTGATTATTGATGGGGTATCCTGTAGACTTAGGTCTAAATACTTCAGAATCTGCCTGGAGATGCCCTGTGTCCACAGTAAAGAGGTTGAGAAAGTCAAAGTATACATGTTTAGTCATTTGGTACCTCACAGAAGACCATTACTTGGTTCCGTCATATTTCCCCAGAAATGTGATAGAAAACCAGGTCCATATTTTTTAAGAATATAAACTTTTTAAAAGTAAAATACACAAGAACTTTCATTGTTAACTGAAAGAATTTCAGCTGCGTCTTTTCTTTGGAATTTTCTCTTCATTGAATTTCAGCCAGTGCATTATGAAGAAAAAAACTGGTGCGAAGAACAGTACTCTGGGGGCTGTTATACCGCCTACTTTCCTCCTGGCATCATGACTCAATATGGAAGGTACTACCCAGATACCAAACTTACAAAAATAAGCAAAGTTCAATGGGAAATTTAGAAATAGTAGTCAGCATTCCTATTTATAATGTCTCAGGTAGCCAGTTTATATATTTCTGGATGTCCATAGGAAAATAAGTATGTCGGTGCATAGAAAAATAGCTGTCAGCACAGAGAACAATAGCAGAACACAGGTGAGGATTTCAGATGTCGGCAGTTCACGTGAAAATTATCCCAAGTTATAGTGTCCTTCAAGGGGCCTTCTTGAGCTGAATTAGACATTCAGTCTCATATGACTACTCTAGGCTCCTGGGCACCACTCTACACAGAAGGACATGGGCCAAACATGTCTTGCCAGCAGAGCAGTATCATATATTCCTCTTCAGGGAGAGGGGCCCCTGCTGTATGCAGCTAAGGTGTGGAGATGATAGTCCTACAGGGTGGGGAAGTCCATCTTGGTTTAGAAGCCCAATAGGAACCATTGTCTCTTGTAATGGCCTCATTGGCATAGTGTCCAGGGTCCCTGCAAGGGATATGCCCAGTCACAAGAGGCATCACACTCATTGAAATCCAAAGAGATAGCTCCTACTAGGTATTTACAATTCATGCCAGTCTTCCCAGCCTGGATCCAATTTATCATTATTGGGTTGGGGAAGACATTTTTAGCATAAGCAGTGTTGCTCAGTAACATAGATAGTATTATACCTTCATCAGGTTTCCAAGGGAACAGAGCTAGAAAGTTAACTGAAGGTCACATTTGTCCAGGAAGGAAAAAAATTTGGTAACCCTTTTGTTACATGAGATTCTTTTATTATTATTAATTGAGGTGCAGGCCTTTGGGGTAGAGATGTGAAGCTTAGCAGATTTTATGAAAGTGTCTATACATATGGTAGGAGTCAAAGCCAACAAGGTAGGAAAGGATAGTTGCCCATTCAGCCCTTCCATGGTTCTCTTCATTGAGATCTCTTTGTAAAAGGAGGCCCATTTCCCTGCCTTCAGCCAGTCTCCAGATAAATTCTTAGATGCTAACTGTACAGAGGTTGTTTTTTTTTAAGGAGATAGACATATAATCCCTTGGGTCTTTTCCTTGACAGAAATCATTTAATCTCCTTATCTTTCCACTTGCTACTATAGTTCCTCCTGGCAACCTGGGAGTGCCTGCCAGGCTGGGGTCTGCCATCAGATGAGATCTCTTGCAGAACATACCCCTTTGGAAAGACAGTGTAGGGAGCAGAATGGATTACAAACAGTAATCATACAACAAATAAGTCTGATAGTGAATTTAATGCATGTTCTTATATTCCAATTCTGGATGGCTAGGAAAAGGTCAACATCACCTTTAGTGATTGATGATCTGACAGCCTGATTCTCTCTGGCTTGAAAATTCAGACCCTTGGGTGCAAGCCCAGGAAACAAGGAGGGAGAAGCCTTTCACATTTGACTGAGTTGCGTGGGAGTTTTTTAAACAATATGAGATACCTTGTCTTCTGTGGGGTAAATGAGGGCAGTGATTGACTCGTTAACCCTCAGTGCCTTCTCAAGCAACCATGACCTTTCTGTTCACTTCAAGGGTGATTCGTGAACCAGTAGGCAGGATTTATTTTGCTGGAACAGAGACAGCCACACATTGGAGCGGATACATGGAAGGAGCTGTTGAAGCTGGAGAACGAGCAGCTAGATCGGTAAGGGAGGAAGCCAAGTTACCTTCCCTCCTGAGTCCAGCATTGTTTTTTGTATCTAACCTTTTTAGATCTTGAATAAATAAATATGTATGTCTATTTTTTGTACCCTTACTCCACTCAGGGGGCTCATCTGTGGCCAGCAGGGCCTTGAATCTGTCAAAACTATAGAACTTAATTTCACAATACAATTGCTGGTTTCTTTCAGATCTTGTATGTTATGGGGAAGGTGGCAAATCTAGACGTTGAAGAACCTGAATCAGAGGTAAATTTGGCAGCTTCATCTCCATAGACCAGTAACTGCATATAAAACTCCTGTCTTTCATCTTCTAGCCTCTGATATAATTGTTGGTGCCACTCTCCAAGGCATATCCATGCATGTATTTTACAAATACGTTTTGCCCCTCCTAGTTAGTGCAGGAGTCTTCTGCTAATTATCTATGTTCATTCATCTAGGATGTTCCAGCTACCGAAATCATGTGCACGTTCTGGGAAAGGAATCTTCCCTCTGTGCCAGGCCTGCTGAAGATCATTGGATTTTCCACATCAGTGACTGCCCTGTGTTTTGTGGCATACAAGTTTAGGCTGCTGAAATGATCCTGAACTATATGCTCTGCTTACTCTTTTCCAGTATCATCAGAAAGAAAATATTGACAAATTAATGGCTGTCTCTCATTAGACCATAGTTAAATGAACTGGATGTAACCCCTTAGCTTAGTCTGTGTTAAAGTGAAAACAACTCATGGAATCACCTCATTAAAATCAGTAAGAGCAAGCTCCATCTTATTTGTCGGTGTAGATTAATTTGTGTTATTGGTAGAATACAACCTTGTGATCAGTTTTTTTAATTTCGAGTTCAAGCGCTTATCAGAAACAATTTCTATGTTCTGTTTTTTCCCCTTTAACATAAAATGCCTGACGATTGCAGAAATGAAGCATTTAACTTTCTGTAGAGGTTAAATAGGTGACGGCATAGCCTGTGACTGATCTTTTCAGTCTTTAGGAAATGGTGAAGTGTAGGTCCAGAGCTGAGAGGATCACGGCTTCTTGGGGTGAGCAGTTCTCACTTTGTATGAGGAAATAGTACATGAAAGCGGTAGAGATATACCAGTGAGGTGGGGAGGGGCATTTTGTAGGCTGTTGCCACAGGAGTCTCTGGACCACTTCCGATTCCTACAGTTTCTAGACATCTAGTCTCAGTGTTAGCTCACCTGTATATTTTCCCCTTTGCTTCTTAAATAGGACAGTGTTTACCAAAGCATAATGATTAAATTGACTTTCTGTGACTTTTGTACAGCTCCCCAGGTGAGCAGAGTAAACTAATGGCAGGACTGTCCCCAAGAGGCCTCGCTGACTAGCTCTACATGAGGCATCTTTTCTTCTTCCTGGAGTATGGCTAGACATCACTTCACTCATCATCGATGATAACATTCTCTACCAATTTCAGGAAAGCTGTATTTTCCTTTCTTTCAGGTAGATCCTGGCTGAAATTTATTTTTCTTTTTTCATATGACCATAGTAGAATTAGACAGGTCTGTTAATTTAAATATGTTTTCAACATGGTTACCCTATAGTAAGTGTTAGCATGCCAGTTTCTCTCAAATAACTGAAATAGACATTAAAAATTTCATATTGTTATTTGTTGAGACTATGAGATACAGAAGGAAATTATGGCTATATTTTATAAATTCACTTGCTTTAGTTATTAAGCTTTATAAAAGACATGAAATTGAGTGGTTTTACCTATGAATACTAAATTCTCTAAGGAATTATGTGGGCCCAGACCAGTACCACCTCTTGTCTTTCCCATTTTTAAATTAAAACTATCAGATTTTTTAAAAGCCCCTTCCAAAGGTTTCAGCCACAAACTACTTATTTTTTAATGTAAATTCCTGGATAAAAATCAACACATGTGATCAATAAAGCAATTGAGAAGATTCAGTGGACTCAGGTATGCAGGTGGTAGACACACAGTAATGCCTTATTCTGCATCATCAATGAATGAACATTTCATTTCAAATGAAGTTTCTAGATAGCTGAAACTTACTCTTTTATGTGCCAAAATTTTTAAATAAAAATTTCAATGAACATATTTCCATATATTATTAAACAAGTTAGATCCAATTAATTTTTTAATTAATCAGGTCAGGCATTATATCCCTGAATTATTTTATGCTTTTATAATAGAGTGACATTATCATGTTTGCCCTTCTATAAAATGTCACATGATTGTTTTATAGCTGCTGAGTAGGCTACTGCTTCTTCTGTCTTCTCTCATATTCAGCATTTTATTTCATATCCTCTTTATCTCCTAACATCCCTTAACCTAATCTATTTTTTATTGAATGGGAATTAAAGATTGCCAAAGGAGACTAACCCAAGTTTATTATATAATTAACCTTATCATAAATCCAAAATTAAGTTATGGCCCTGGTGTGAGGACTTAAGATATTTGTTTTGCCTAACCCAAGAGCAAAGTGTAGAATTTTCCTGGTGCTGTTTAACTTTCATTTGAAAAGTGTTTTTGCTAAGTTAGGATTTTTGGCAATGTCTTGGATATGCTCTAGTACATAAGGAAATGCACATACACCAAACCACTTACAAAAATTACATCCCTGATCTATTTCATTTATTTCTGTTCACTTACTTATTAACTTGGTTCTGACATACCTTTTGGCAAAAATCTCAACTCGCAAGAGTTTTAACAGTAATCAGATTGATAGCATATCCAGAACTTGAATATTGAATAAATCCTGAGTATTCAACTACCCTCTTCTCGGCTTTTTAGAAAACCAATTAATTTATTCTAATTAGATCAGCCCTATTAAGCTACAGATTATTAAAATGGATGCCAGTCCCGATGTGCATAAACATAAAATCGGAGCTGAGAACTCCCACCATATTTTAGCACTAAGTGATTGTTCAACACTAAGAAAGATACCGTAGGTATTTTCTCCATTCCAGAGAAACTAGTCAATTTCAACAGCTGATAGAACATGGCTCTGTTAAACCATCTGCTTCACAGTTCTGAAGGCTACCCCATTGTAGGATTGAGAATTAGATTTTAAAAGTTATCCTTTTCGTCACAACTGTTAAATAAGAACGTATACTATACTGAAGAAAAAATATTGAAGCATCGTGAACTACATTTAGTTTGACTATGAACTTGGTGCCTAGTGTTCTGTCTGAAATGTGCCCAAGTGCTACTACATGTGGGAATATGCATGTGTCTATTTTGCAATTGAAATACGATTTTGCCTGTATGGTACTGTTTTGTTGGTTAATAAAGTGCACTACAACCCCTGATTCAGACCTGCCTTCTCTATTTAGTCAATAGTCCCAAGGTTAAATGGCTTCTTATAGCAGGAGGTCACAATGAGGCATTACCATGGATGATGGGTTTAAAAAGCCACTTTGTATTGATTCCAACTTTTCATAGTTTGCTTTGACTTTCATGTTTTATCAAGGATTACTGAGAGCTGATTAAATGCTATAATATTGTCTGCTTGGGCTATAATCAGTTAGTGTAGAGTCTGATCGAAGCTTTCTCACCTAATTAGCATAAAATACCTTGAGCAAATGACTTTGCTTCTCTGCCTCAGTCTCCCCATCTGGAAAAGCGTAGGTTGCACTTGATGGCTTCCAAGGATTCCTTTCATGGCAGCATTTTGTGATTTATGCATTTGTTTCCAGCACTTAATGTTTGCTTATCAGTATGGAAGGAGCAAGTTACTCTGCCTTCTGTATCTTGGTTTACTCTTTTGTCTTAGGTTAGGTTTCCTGGAAACAGACTCTGAGATGCAAAATCAGGGCAGAAAGTTTATTGGAAACAGCTCTCAGGAAATACAACTACCGAGGCTAGGAAGGCAGAATTTGGCAGGAATTGACCTATAAAGAAGTTTCAACTGAAGCCTTAGCAGATCCCAAGTGGGAAATGGGAAGGCCCTTCAGAATGTCCCTCATTCGGGCAAAGGGGTCTGGCCTCTTTACCTCTTCATCAGCAATCCTCTGCAAGGGGTGCTACCTTGTATGATAACTGCAGCTGCAAACTGAAATAAGCCTGCATTCCCAGCAGCTGGAGAATCCAGGGAGAGTAACCCACAGCAGCATTTATTTTACTCCCCACCCCCAAAAATGTTGTCCTTTGTCATGTCAAAGATGTGAATTTGAGCTTTGGTTTTGACAAATAGAATGGAGCTATTGCTGTGAAACTGCCCCTGCTAGATAAGGTAACTGCCTTTATGTATGTATGTATGTGAAAATTGACTTTTTTAAAATACATTTTTTAAAGATTTTATTTTTAGAGAGAGGGGAAGACAGGGAGAAAGAGAGGAAGAGAGTATCAATGTGCGGTTGCCTCTCACATGCCCCCAACTGGGGATCTGGCCTGCAACCCAGGCATTTGCCCTGACTGGGAATCAAACCTGCAACATTTTGGTTTGGAAGCCAGCACTCAATCCACTGAGCCACACCAGCCAGGGCAAGGTAACTGCTTTTAGAAGGTTATATTTCTGCACTATTCTTTATGTGGAAGAAAAAAAATAAGAAATGGAAGGGACTCTGGAAATGTTTCAACTTCTGTCTCAGTGAAGGAGCCCCCTTCTACAATTTACTGATAGAAAGATCAAAGTGGGTGATGGGGAAGAATGTACATTTATAAGCATGAGTCCAAAGTCTCATGTCTTCAGGAGTCAGGCAGCCAAAAATGAGCAGCAGGCATGGGACACTAGGGAGTACTGGGAACTGTGGCTGATCTGGGGAATATCTGCCCCTCAGAAAAGTATTTATGTTCAAAATTCTTTAAAGTATTGCTAACCAATTAAGACACGTTTGAAGGCTTTTCTCACATGTCCAAATTGTTCTTGAGTCTCATAAATAAATGCAAGGTTTTGTTTTACCTCTTGTAAATGATAAATTCTCTTTGCATGTCTTTGATTTTTTGAGAAATGAGCACCAAGACAAGCAATCATTTTGTAAAACTTCCTAGAGCAGGCAAAAAGACAACCGGTGGGCAGAGAGAGAAAAAAAAGCCATTTTATATCAGAAATCTCCCTCAAGAAATACCCTTCCCCCAGTGCATCCCAAGGGATTGGTTATCTCCTACTATATCAATGTCATGATTGACAAAAGCAGTGCCAAACTTTATTGGAAAAACTGCATCTTCACTATGAGGTGAAAATCACAACTCTTGTCAGTGTTTAATCTCTGGACTATGATATAATTCCAATAAGCAGGACATCAACATTGAATGAACGAATTTTTAAAAACTATACTTGTTACCAGACAGGGGCCTGGTCATGAATGGGTCTGTCTAGAGCCAGCTGTAGTGTGTGGGTTCTGGACTTCGTGTTGGAAAGATTTCACAGCACAAGTCCAGGTGACTATGAGGATCTATTTCTTAAAGGTGGGAACAGTAAAACAAGGAAGAGCCTAGCACAGAAGAGGCAATAGGAGAGCCTAGGCTGAGCTGCCTTAGCTCACTGGGAAGTCAGAGAAAAAGGGGCTTTGGGGACAGGTTCAGGGGATTAGCCTGCAAAAATGGGCCAACTGCTCATTCTAGCATTGTGTGCTTGTGGGAGAAGAGAAGGAAGAGGAGTTGAAAGGGAATGGCCCTGGCTGCTCCACAGAGGTATAACACAATGGAGCAGGGTCCTTATTCTTGAGGCTTTTGTCTCATGCAGGCAGGAATCTTAGGGGAGGTCTCAGGGGAGGGTTTCAGTAGAATCTTCATCAGTTCTCCAGGTGTGTCCTCTCAGGGCCATGGTCTCCTCTAACTGGTCAGTGACAGGGCAGGTCATGTTAGTCATTCAAGCTGATCTTGGCATCACCCACCTGGTTTTGCTGCTTTTCTGAGACTGGTGCTGAAACACAACTAAGGCCTGGATGTTATCTCCAGGGAGTAAACTCTAGGGGAGGAAAGGTTACCCTGGGGGTGGGGACCTTGTTTTCCCAGTTTTGCCCCCTGCCAGGCACTGGGGCCTTCCCCTGGTGACCATCTGCACCTGGCTGTAAATTGCTAGGCCATTGTGTTCAACTGTCTGTCTCAGTTTCCCTATTCCACTTGCCAAGGAATTTCCCTAGCTTCTTACTATTATATCTCATACTGACCACTTTACACATAGGTGGTAATAAAAATGAAAGGCAATTGCCTTAGCCTAGAGACATTGGAGAAACTGGTAACAAAGGAAGGTATTGGGTAATAGTAACAATTCCCTTTTCTCTATCAGAGCTCAGGGCTTGGTTTCCTTCCTTGACCAAGATTGTTCTCTCCAGAATTCAAGTGCAGATCTCAGTGACAGCTGGTGTAAACTTGCAGTCTTAGCCTGGAGCCAAGCGTGAGAAGGCAGTTTTGAGGGCTCATGTGAAAAAATTGACTTCAAGGAACTTGTAATTCCTTCAAGGTGGGTCATGGGCCACTCAAGCAAGACTCCATTTAATGCATGTATAAGCTCTACAAGATTATTATTTATTTATACTCCTTTACAGGCACACCTCAATGGAAACTAAGTTTTTCTATTAATGGACCTCAGATATTCTCCAAGGACCATCAAGATCCATATGTGAAATTGTGGTAGAGTGTAGTGGTGTGAGTGTATGCTTGGGTGGTTGAGTGGGAGCAAAAACAGAGAAGGGAAATGGTGGGGGACGGTGTTGCTTAAATGTTCACAAAGCAACATGATGACAATTTTGATAGGTTTATACCACCAAAGAGAATAAGGCACCCGTGAACTCTGTGTCATTTACTCTGTAACTCAGAGGACTTGCCTTATAGAGTTGCTGGGAAAAGTTAGGTAATGAAGGTAAGGCTTAGCATAGCAAATAGTACATATTAGCTATTATTCATTGACCTTTTAGAATAGAAGCACAAAGAAGGTACTTTAAAAATTTTGTGAGCCCTGTATTTTTCTAATCATTTAACACATACTGAGCATGTACTATGTGCTGGTAGGCACCAAGCTGGAGTTCAGCAGTGAAAAGAGAGAATTCACTTCAGGGAGCACATAGTCTACTGTATTATGCCAAGCAACACATTTGTTTGGGATCTGGCCAGTGCCATAAAAAACATAAAATACTATGAATGCAGGGAAAGTTTTTAGAAGGTCATGAAATTTAAGGATAAGTTTCTAGGATCTATCCTCAAACTTCCATAGGCCACTGTGTAGCAAGCCATGAGGGGAAAGGAAATAAAAATGAGATGGTGTCTTAGTCAATTGGGGCTGCTATAACAAAATCCCATAAACTGTGTGACTTATAAACAGTGGAAATTTATTTCTTACAGCCCAAGTGTCAACAGATGGGGTGTCTGGTAAGGGTCTGCTTTCTGTTTCATAGATTTTTAGCTGTATCTTCACAAGGTAGAAGGGTCATGGGATATCTGTAGGGTCTCTTTTATAAGAGTATTGATTTAATTCACGAAGGCTCCACCCTCATCTCCTAATCACTTACTAAAAGCCCTACCTTTTAATGCCATAGACTTTTGGGTTAGAAGTTTAAAATACAAATTAGGGGGGAGGGTGGCACACAAACGTTCAGGTCGTATCAGATGGCATGGCTAAATGGCAAAGAAAATCATAAGTAACATCAGTAAGTGCTGAATGTTAATCCCACTTGCTCCATTGACCGTTGTTTACCCTTTTAGTCTTCTGTTGTTCCTGTCTACCTAGCTCTTCTCTGCAATCTGAGGTAGTTATCAACTGAGACTATCTCTCAGTCCTTTGTGCTAAGGAGCCACATAAATTTGTTTTAAAAGGGTGCCATCTTCTGGCCAAACAGTGCTGTTTACTTCCAATGGAAATCCTAAAGTATTCAACTCAGTTTTGTCCTGGGGGAAATTAAGAGGTGTCACCTCCACCCAGACTTTCCCCCAAACATATTTGCCTGCTCTTTCTTACTTTCTAGTTGCAACATGAATCAAAAATATTAATGTCTAATATCCATAGCCTTTCCTCTTCCTTAATCTCCCAGGAAATTTTTTTGTTATAACTGCTTGGTTCCTCAGCCTCTGTTGTGTCCATCTGAATAATGGGTGAATGGGAAAATTTGTGGGAGCTGAAAGAGTGGATTGCTTTTACTTTAGCTTGGGCAAGGAACTAATATGGGAAAAGCATAAGAAAGGGGGTAGCGAGAACAGGAGAAATTTTCAGAAAATCAAATTGTAGTTATGGTGTGCAGCTGGAGGGAAGAAGTGATTTCAAAAGCTGCCTTGACAACCTAAATAAACAGAAAGTTAGGAGGATTTTAAGAAAGTTTGGCTAAGAGGCTTGTGGTGCAATAAATATCTACGCTACTCTTTATGCTT